TGTCCCACCCTGATCACGAGGGTCTGGGCTGCTCCCACCCCAATGGTCATGGGGATGGATCCCYGCTCTGCCCAGCACACAGTGCCCCAGCACCAACCCTGCCCACCTTCCCCCTCAGGTGGGCTGTGGGCACGGCTGGGGATGCACACACAGTGTCCAACCTGGGCACCCACTGCCTGCCAGAGGGCTCAGTCCAGCCTGGGACAGATGGGATAAGCCTAAGAGTGTTGGACATTGGTCAGTTTTCCCCCAGTTTAGATAGACTGGGAATTTTTAGGTAATTTTTMAAAGGCTCTCAGTGCTCATCCCTCGGCAGCTGGGCCAGCTCACAAGGTAATGATAGAGACACTGTCCACTGACCTGCTCCATCCAAGCCAAAAGCACCAAACCTCCCCAAGCACAGGCATAAGAGCTTTCCCCGGCTGGAAATCATTACCAGGACTATCGGGCTTAGCAGCAGCAGAGCTGGGAATAAAACTGCCTGAAACTTTGGAGGCCGTGTCTCCCCCAACAACAGCTCCCACACAGAAGCAATCCCTGTCCCTGCAGCTGCTCAGAGCTTTTCTTTCCAAGGCTGAGCAGCTGCTTTGGGAAACCACAAACCCCATGAGCTCATGGGGACTGGCCTGACTGGCGGGGACGGGAGATGTACGTGTGACCACGCAGCTCTGGTATGATAGTTACATATTTTCAAGCTGTTTTTGGAAAAGAGCCTCTCCAAAAAAAACTCGGGCAGGGCAGAGGGTGAAGGGAGCAGTGTCCAGGCAGAGGAGCCAGGCAGCAGCCGGGGTGGGAGCTGTGCACAGGAGCAGCTGTGCCTGGCTGGGTGCTCAGCCAGCGACAAGACATGGTGTGGCACTGCCAACTGCACCCACGGCTCTGTGTGAGCAGCAAGAGCAGCGTGCCATTTGTACCATTTATGCAACTTCCACTCAGCCAAATTAAAAGCATTCCCCAGTAGTCTGGCAGGTCACCAAGCCCTCGGCTGAGCAATGCCTCATCGTATTTTTAATTTTAGCTTCCCCTGCTTCATGATGAAATACTTACAAGCAATTGTTTAAGCAAGCAAGAATTCCAGGCCTGTATCCATAAAGCCCCAGCAGCTGTCAAGAGGAATAGAGAGGCAAAGCCTCACAACACTTTCCACACCAGTTATTATCCCATTTTGTGACCCAAGCRCGGAGAGGCAGCGAGCWGTTCAYRCTGTGAGTCACCTCTRSAGCCTGACCCCACCTGAAACAGCTCAGCGCTGTAAACAGCAGACAGACCATAAAAGTGATGTGGGACACAGATAGTATCAGCCAGAGCTCCTGTCCCACTGCCCTGCCACTCCCTGTCCCTGCCACCTGAGCGCCCACGCCTCTGCTGTGAGCCTGGCACAGCTGGGGTGGCACAGACACCCTGGGACAGCACAGCTGGGGTGGCACAGACA